AAGGTATAAAACACGGACGTATATTCCAGTTGCCAGACGGTGCGTCAAGCAAACTCTGCAAATTAGACCCCACTGATTTTGGAAAATTTTAGTTTTAGTATTGTAAGTTTGGATCTATTAGGGTAAGAAATATGGTAGTTGAAATGAAAAACATCATCTCATAAAAATACAATCGCCGTTCGGAGTCGGCGTAAAACTGTAGGTCCCTCCCTCCGCTTTGTGTGACAACATCAAGGCGCACGCCACAAATTGGAGGAGAAGCTCGGCCAAACACTAACATATGTGTAAGCGCCAAGCTATTATTATTATTATTATTATTAATATTTTACTTCAGTTTATTTTATTTTTAAATTTTGTGTAATAAACCTTTCAAAACTGGAAAATAAACTTCTTACATCATTATGTTTATAAAAAATTTATTCGAACCTCTTTTAAAATTATTTTCGTGTAACGCATTACATGAAAACTTCTCAGTAAATAGAGAGCCACACTATACATTCTTTATAAATATTTATTATACAGAAAAATCTTAATTAAAATTGCCCTTTAATTACAATTATTGTATTATCTTGAATTTAAATTAAAATATTGTTTTTTTCTATTTTAATTTAAACCATTATTAAAGCGGCGTAGCTTATGCGTTTAGTCTACAAAATAAATGAGCAATTTAAATTTTTTCAAAAACCTAGCACTTACATATATATAAAATATCATTTTGAACGCTCTGACATAAGCTAAATTTTGAATTATACAAAAAGCTACAGACATAATTTAGGTAAACTACATGCAAACTTAAAGATACATACATTTATACAAAAATATTATAAAATGAAATAAAATACAATATAAAAATTAAGCTAAAACACAACAATTATTTACACTAAATATTGGTTCATAATTTGAGATTACTTTTTTTAGATTTGCAATAGCAAATTATCTTTGTGAGTATGAAATATCTCTATCTGCATATTTTACATATGTATGTATGTGTGTATATTATTAAGTGTTTTCTTTACGATATATTTTGTAGTTGTAGTTGCGTAGCAGCCGCGCCGAAAGCTCCGCACCCCATTTCTCTTCCAACTCGCCTGAAGCACCAAAGCGGTCGAAAAAAAAA